AGGATGGAGGCTTTGAGGCACCAGAAACGACGACAGTTTTGAGGATGGCAACCCGGAAAGGGCTGATCCCTGTGACTGTTGGCACTTTTGAAGCATATCATAATGGGGGGTGGGGGAGATACCATTGGGGCCATCATTGGGGGGTGGGCTAACGCAGAGCGCAGGACCATACATCTATATATATATGTATATACATATATATATACATGTATATTTATATAGACATATATATATATATCCTTTCAGCGACCTTCCTCCCCCTCCTGCCCTCCCTCTGCCTGGTGCTTTTGCTTTGACTCCTGCTTTTTCACACCCTTCACGGGGGGCAGACATGACGCATGCGGAGCTAACATGAGGCACAAACTCAAGTGTTTGGGGGTGAAGCAGCACGAAGGCCTGCAGCTAGAGCTGTTAACCTTCATCCATCCATCCATCCATCCATCCATCCATCCATCCAAGTGAGAGCCAATCTGTGGCGCTTAGCTGCGGCCTGCGGGCGTGAAGGTGTTGGTGGTGACATTGTTCCCCCATTCCTTCAATTTCTACTTGTCCAAAGGAGAACGTGATCTCACCTGCAGGTTGCAAAAAGTTGTTTGACAACTGGCTTGGTTGAGGGAATGCGAAGTGCAAAGGAACGCATACCTTCAGAATCCTTCAGATCTCTCTGCAAGTGTAAGCAGAAAAGCAGACCATAGCAGAGCGAAGCCAAGAAGGAAACTCGTATCGCGTTGCTTCTAAATCGGTCACCCATTCGATGCCTGGAGCCCAAGCTGTCAAAGTTGAGCCTGCTTCAAGTTAGTCCTGAATCTCCATCGTTGAAAGGCCCGGCATCTGACGAGGTCTCGGACTGTTCGTTGCTGCTTTGATGACGGCTCGGGAGCCACTTTTCAATGCTTGGTTGGAGGCTCGATTGCCAGCTTTGCCAGCACCCACAATCCGGCCGGGTGAGGTGCAAAGAGCCTGTGAGCCCCGCCGAACTCCTTGCGTTGCCTTGTGCGTGCAATGAATGAAGGCGCCCGCATCCATTTTTGTGAATTGGGCACCCTTGCAACTGGCCCTGGGTTATGTTTGGCCCCGAGAGAAGACAAGCTTCTGCAGCTATAATGATGCAGTGGAGCGTGGCTGAGGTAGTGGAGCTGCGGCCGGCCGGGACAAAGGCGCTCGCTTTGCATGCCTTTTGCAACTGTGCCGCGCTCATTTGTCACGGCATGTCACGGCCTGAGGCAGAGTGGGCGCCGGTCGATGTGACCGGCCACTTGGGCACAGAGCAAGGGCACTTTGCACCCAGCTGTTCATCGTGCAAGGCAGGCATGTGATGTCCAGCACAGTTGGTTTCTAGATGGATACTTCTTCGGGACGGTGCCTAATCCACAGTAGGTGGTCTCCGTAAATGGGTAGAGAGATGCTTTTGTGGACCTTGCCGCATGATGTAGGTAGCCGGTCTCCGTCCGGGCTACGCATACGAGGCCCGAGAGAAGACCTGGGGCTAGGGCTGAGTTGAGGACAGTTGATCTGTAGGATGATCTAAATCCAGAAGCGGCATAGTTCTGCTGCACCAAGAATGACCTCACCCCAATCCGTGCTCGTGATCAATAAGGGCGCCCCGGCCCCCACCCCCCCCCTCCCTTATATTGTATAGAAAAGCCTCATTATTTCAGCGGCCCCAGATGCCAGAAGGAGATCAAGAAAGGGATCCTGCACACTAGCAGCACTAACAACCATCACCCAATATGCCTACACAGTATTGCGTGCAAACTTGCCTTTGAATCAATGCTTCTTGGATGCAGGTGTTGAGAGCAGACTTTAGGGATTTAGATTTGGTCTCCAGAAACGGAAAACGCGAATCTGCCTAGCCTTCCACTAGAAAAAACTCTTAATAGCATAAACATTGATAGCCTCCTCGATGCCTTGCTTCGCTTTGGTTATTCCTGACTTCATGTTGCAAATGATTTCTGACATGAGCATTATCGCAACTTACACTTCTTCTTTGTTCAGGATCAAGGGGTCGGATCCTCGAAGAAATGCCAAACATCGGAGCATGTCTCAGGATGGGTCTGGGGATCCCCGAAATCCTTCAGAAATCCCGCCACGTGCTGGGGGAAATTGAAATTGCCTTTAGGGTGGCAAAACGATCTTTGGTCACTCGCACCTATCGTTGAGCTGTTCGAGCCGCGAAATTGCCCTGCAAAAACCGCTTTCATCCGCAATCCAAGTGACCAACGCCCTGCAAATTTGTCGGTGCTGTCATGACAAGCCCGCGTGCAGGTATAAAAAGCCTGCGAAACAATCCTCTAATCCTCATAAAGACGGCACATGCGCTAGACCTGAAAACCCGCACACAAATCCCATAAGACCTGCGGCAAACCGCAGAAAATCGGCATACAACCATCGTAAATCCTGGAACCCATCACCCCACTTATCAGCCTAGAACCCCAACGATTCTGATGATGCTGGCCGCCTTGACGAGCATCATCAGCATCATTATAGGTCCGTTTTCCATTTCTGGCCTTCTCTGTACCCAGCGACCCCTCATGGAGTCTACATTTTTCTCCGCCCAATCCCAAGACATCCCAAGAGGGGCCTTGGGGATCTTAGGGCTAGTTTTCAAAGCGGTGACCCCGTGCTCATGATGCTGATCTGGGGGGTTGTGGGGGACACAAACATCCCTCTGTGCTTGGGGATTTGCTTTCCAAAACGCATGTGAATTTCAGAGTAGTTTTGGAGTGGGGTCCGGGAGTCGGAGGTCCGATGATGCTGGGTTGGCGCTGTCGGCAGAGCTACCCCTCTGACAGGGCCCCTGCTGGACCAAGGTGGGCCGATTTTAGGCCTAGCGGATCCTACCGGGAGGGGCTGGCCCTGCCGCCATGATGGCAGCAGGAAGAGACAGCAATGGCAACGGCAACAGGTGCATTAAATAAAAAGAGTAACAGGCGCCGTAGCGAACAGGACAAGAAGTACATCGTAGTAGAAGCAGGAAAGATCGCAATAGTAGTAGCGAATGACAGTAGTATAGTAAGTAAGGCCCGGCAAGGCAAAACGGACCCCTGGCAATGCTGATGATGCTCCATCATCAGCATCATCGGGGCGCCTATTCTCCATTTGTTGGCTCTCCTGTTCCCCTTGTCCTGTCCTTCAGTCCAAAGTATTCTTGGCCCGGGCAGGCCTTGCGGCTAGAATCCGAGCTCATGACGTGTTTTCGGGGTCTGGGGCCCCTAAATCCTTCACAAATCCCTCCGGTGTGCTGGGGGAAGCTTAAAAAGCGCGGGGGTGCAATTGAAACTGCTTCTAGGGTGGCAACAATGGACCCCCAATTGTGCCGATGAGGCTCGCGTGTGCGCGCGGGGCTCTCCCGCGAGCATCATCAGCACAATTGGGGGTAGATTTCGCTACTCGAATGATCTTTTGGTCACTCTCACCTATTGTTGACTAGCCGCTGAAAACGCCCTCAGCCCGCAAAAACCACTCTCCAAGTGACCGACGCCCCGAAAATTTATCGGCACCACCACAAAGCCCGCGTGCAGAAGGAAGAGCCCGCAAAACAATCCTGTAATCCTCACGAAGCCGGCACGCACGCTAGACCTGAAAATCCGCACAAATCCCATAAACCTTGCTTAACATCCGCAGAAAATCATCATACATCCTGGAACCTATCACCCACTTATCAACAGCGGTATTTTCTAATAGTTCCATGGAAAAATGTCGTGAACCAATCAAGGAACTCGCAGTGACTCATCATAGCCTCCGTGGTTCCAGCATCCAACCCTCAGGAACCCCATCAGGCCCGGCCCAGCGGCCACGGGCAGCCTAGAAGCCTGGAAATAGAGAAACGGGACCCCAATGATTCTGATGATGCTGGCACCCTTGGCCAACATCATCAGCATCATTGTGGGTCCGTTTCTCCATTTTGGCCTCGCCTGTACCCAACGACCCCTCATGGAGTCTACATTTGCCCAATCCCAAGACATCCCAAGACGGGCCTGGGGATCTTGGGGCTAGTTTTCAAAGCGGTCCGTGCTCATGATGCTGTCTTGGTGGTTGTGGGGGACCCCAAAATCCCTCAAATATCCCTCCATCTGCTTCCGGAACGCATGTGAATTTCATGTCTGTGAGGGGCCCTTGGAGAAGCGGAGGTCCGATGCTGAAGCAGGGGGGGGTCGGCGGTGGCGCCACCTTCTGTAGATTTAAAGTGGCAGGGCCAGCTTTTTGGGCTGCCGTGACAAAAATGCCTAAGCCCAAAACCCTAACAGGTGAGTAAAGATGCTCAAGCTTCCGGAACCCCGCTCAGGGGAAGGCAGAGGGCGGAGGACGGCATTGGAGCAGAAGGGGCAGGGAGCGAAAGCAGTTGTGCCAGCATTCCCCTCGCCCCGTGAGGTCTCCGAAAGTTTGTTTGCTCCACAACTACCCTAACGCCCTACGCAAATAAACCCAAGCATTTTGGCTCAAGCGCCCTCCTCAGAAAGGACGGGTGGAGGACCAGAAAATGCATGGGAGGTAAGGGGAAGGGGTTGGAAACGCAACAAAAAGTAACGTCCGGTTTGAAACTGACGCAATTAAACCAGGTCAACGGAGGCCTTGAAGCCAGCATAAGCCAGAAGAAGAGCCTGAAACCAGTGAGACATTTTGCTGGGGGGAGCAGATTGAGCCAAAATTCGACGTAGGTTACCGTTCAATCCTCCGTCATGATGGCTTACCTCCACATGCACAGCTGAGAGTGAGCTCATTTGTTGACGGCCTTGGAATGAATTACGTCTGTGAATGCTGTAGTAGGCGAACGGTATTAAAGGGCATGGAACTGCATAGCAAGCGTCTTTGGAGGATTTGGGGGCATCCAAAAATCACGCGGCAACTACCGCAGGCCAGAGTTGCCTTGGAAAGACCAGCAATACATAGGACCAGGGACAATCACAGCCAAAATCCCTCGCACAAAAAGCTAGTTTTTTGGAACGGCCACGCCTTGGCCCGCAGCGAGTGGATCGCAACCCAAACACAGAAATGAAACGTGCAAGCACGGTCAGGATGCGTGCCACTCGCTGGTTGCAGAGTCATTGTTCTGTGTTCTGCATGACAGTCGTTATCGTTATGGCATATATGGCAAACATGAAAATAATCACCAATATCAAGCGTCAATGTTGGTGCATGAGGATTGACTTCATATGTTGCAGATTAACATATACGATATTTGTAGTTTTCCTTCATGTTTCTTGAACTTCCAGGCACGAGTGACATATGTCTCTTCGTGTGGCTGCCGATCGGAGGTCTGGTAGGGCTTAAGTTGAAGTGTCAAGACGTTTGCTGAAGCTCAACGGAGTCATCAGGCTTCTGATGCCTCTCAGCCATGTGCCCCATGCAGTGGGCTTAATTCGAATTCGATCTGGCACGTGGCTTTTAGCAACACAATCCCATGCTCCAAATGTCAGAGTCTGGAAAGGCGAGCAGCGCAGTACTCGCAGTGCGGCTGCTGGGTACCAGACGCAGGTCGTCACCTTCAAAAGCCTGCGGTTCGTTGCCCTGCCGCCACTGCGACTCGAGGCAAACGTTCAGGGCATCGCCTGGCCACAGGCCTGACGCATCTGTCGCCCTTATGCATGGGGATGTGAGATAGGAGGCAAGAGAGGAGGTTGCCAGCATGCTGTGACTGTCATGCAGGCTTTCATGATTGCACTACGAAAACAGGAAAGTCGTCCAGTCGTCTTCCATTGCAGGCATCTCCTTCCCGTGGGCCAACGGCGACTACACCAGGTGCCTCAGACAAGCTTGCAGCATCTTTGCTAGATTGCCACAGCATGCATGTGAGGAGTTGTCAATACTAGGGTAGGAGCGGCCATGAATAGACATCATGATATGCCAATGATGCACTTAAAATGAGCACAAAAGTGAAAGGATCCTGCAAAAGCGATACCCCTGGCTTGTAACATTAGGTGTACATGACTAAGCTGAAGCAAAATGCCTTTTTGTTTACATAGTGCAAAACGCCCGCCAAAGCGATAGAACCTCCCTCACCATTTCCCAATGAGTTTTGATGAACACACATTTGTGCCTGCAAATTGCAGGTTGGGCTGCACCTTGTCAAGGTGACGTCGTGTCCAGGGCTGAGCGGCCTTTTTTTGGGACTGCTGACACCAGGATTCTCGTCAGCAGCTCCAACGTGGCATTGCGGTGCCCTGCTTAGAGGAATTGGATTGTGATCTTCTTTCCTATGCCAGTGAGATTTTGGTGCTGGCAGTCCATGGGGCCGTGGTACCAGCGGCACGTGCCCCTGAAATCCTAGCCCTAGATGAGGCCATTAGTTCATTAGTGTTCTGTTGTCACATGAAAGTGCGAAGAAAGCGGTAATTGCTCAGCATGGCAGGCTGGGTTCTCCGTCGCGGTGCGCTGGACCTCGGTGGGGGCTGCTGCTTACGTTGTTGAGCTACGTGAGGTGGGCCAATCTTCAATGCTTGCCAGGCTCTTTTCTTCTGTTTGCTGGAAGGCTGGGTCGCCAATGGCAGAGCGCTTTGTGAGAAGCGCATCTCCCACGCCACCGGGAACGCTGATGGAACTAAGAGCCCGGAGCCAAGTTTACATTGCAGTCTCTACGACGACGAGGAATTGCGAGTCTACTATTACATCGTATTATTGGGCTCGCTTTGTTACAGCGACGCCCTTCTTGCCTGATATGGTTGATATGTGGTGTGTCAAGTCCCAAGAGAATTTCTTCGATGCGTTTGAACTTGGGTTCGCTCAATCACGTTCGCATGGAATCATGGAGTCAACGTCCGAGCCAACATCGTTTAGGATGGACTTCCCGCAACCCGTCAACGATGAAGTTTTGCAAACCATCACCTGTATCCTTTTGGTTGATGTACGTATGAAACAGAGTGAATTCCAGAGTTAAT